CCACCTTCCCACCCCCTGCCCCCACCCCAGCTCCTCTGCTCCACTGCCACCACATCAGCTCCCGATGTGGGGGGTGGGTATGACATCAGAGGTTAATCCCATGGGACAGCTGACTTCAGTTGTCTGCACTCCCCTACCCATCCAATCCTGGTAGTCCTCCCATGTGCCAGGCTGCGCTGGCAAAGCTACACAGCCTCAAATTACCAGCCAGGCTGTTGGCACTGTGTCTCTGTAGCCTGCAGCACAGGGCCCTCCTGTCTCCTCCAGCTGGAGCCGGCCTCACCGAGGCAGGAGACTGCCCCGAGAGTCCAGGGCCAGGGCACGGGGGGGGGTGAGACCCAGTGTAATGGGACACAGCATTTCCAACCTGTGCAGTCACTTGAGAACCCAAGTAATGGGAACAGCTTGAGCCTGGCTGCCACGGCCCTCCCCACTGGAGTGTCTGGTACCCAAGGAGCCTGTCCTGCCAGCCCCCTCCAGACACATACCATTTTTCCTGGCAGCCCTGCCTCTCCCTCCTTCCCTGGTACACCATCTCTGCCTGGCACGCCGGGCTTTCCACTCTCCCCCTAGGGAACAGGAAGGACACTACTGGAGCAACTGGGGCCAGCAGAGCAGACATTTCACACCAGAGCTGGCCCCTCTGCTGGGTTTCCATGACTCTGAGAATGGAAATGACAGCTTCATCCACAGATGGGACAAGGGGGTGCCAGGGCCTCGCCTGCTCTGCCAGCAGGGCCTGGTATGTGGAGACTGAGAGCCAGGATGGCAATAGTGGGACACAGGGAGGGCCAGCAGCCAAGCCATGCCCATGAGGAAGGGACCATGCCAAACTCACCACTTGTCCTGGCAGTCCTGGCATGCCCTGTGGTCCCTATTGAACAAACACATGCAGGAATCAAACAGAGAAGGAGGAACAGAAACCACCGTCTTGGGGTGCAGCATGGAGATGACTCCTGCTCCACACCTACTACCTACCACGAGGCCAGGGGGCCCTGGTGGGCCTGGGAGGCCAACACTGCCCTGGGGACCAGGCAAGCCCTGCAACGGAACGAATGTACATCAGAGAGCAGTGGGAGCTGCCCCCTCAGGACAGCAGCGAACAGTACCCACAGAGCCCAAAAGGAAGGGCCCTGTCATGGCAGGACTGTACCCCTTAGAGAGGTCCATGCCTGCCTGAGACCAAGCTAGGGTCAGAGCAAGTAGAACAGACTGCTGAGGGAAGTTGTGGTCTCTCCATCACTGGAGGTGTTCAAGAAGATGCTGGACAGCCACTGGTTGGGGATGGTCTAGGCACAGCTTTGTCTGTGTTCTACTATGGGTGTTTCCCAGGCTCCTGGGCTTTGCTGGGTGCCTCCTCCTTCCCTTTCTGCTACATGCATTAGGGTGTTTTTAAACCTTCCTCAGAGGCATTGGGTGTTGGTTGCAGCCAAGGCTGGGGATCTTGACTGGGATGTGTCATGTTCCTGTTGGGACTCAGGACTGGGAGTCAGAAGTTCCTGCCTAGAGGGTCTTGTCCCTCTGCTCAGGGTCTAACCAATCACCATATTTGGGGTTAGGAAGGAACTTTACCCTATGGACAGATTAGTACAGATGGTGAGGGATTTGCCTTCCTTTGTGGCAGGGGCGTGGACCTTTACCTAGGATCTCTTAACTGTGTATTAACAACCTTTCACAGAAGCAGAACGTTGCCTGCCATGGTCCCACCGCTTTACCTGTGGCAGTTTAGGGTGTTATGTCTTGCATTGCATCAGGGTTGATGGTAATTTTACTAGGAAGTTAGATTATGGATTTGTACGGGATGGTTGGGATAGGGCTGCTCTTGCCTCAGGCTGGGGTTGGACTAGATGACTGTTGGTCCCTTCCAGCCTGACTTCTTTAGGATGCTATGAAGTGGGGTTGGGACAGCTACTCACCCGGATGCTGGCACCAGGCTCACCCACATCTCCCTGCAAACAGAAACTTTGGCATTAGGATCCCCCACCCCTGGCAGAGATAACACTCCAAGGCCCAGAGCTGAGGGTAGGCCCCAGGATTGGTCACACCAGCTGTGGGCAGCTCAGGGGGACATCAGCAGAGATGGGCCTGCCGGCATCAGCTCCAGCAGCATGCAGCCTATGGCCTACTCCTGGACCTCTCGGGGCTCCAGGATGATGAGAGGTATGTGCCCTTCAGGCAGGTCCCTAAAGGTCTGCTGCAATGTAGGAAGGCTGGTTGGATTCAGGAGCTGGGCATGATAGGGCTCATTGGGGCACTGGTCTTGGGGAAGTCCTTGCCCTGCAGGAGGAGTCCAGTAGCCGCACAGGGCGATGCCAGTTCTCTGGAACCAAAGCTCTCACCAGCTCCCGTGACACCTGGAGGCTGTGGCACCACTTGTCCATTGCCATGTGGGCTCAGGGGCATGGCACCTATGCCCTGCTTGGAACCAGAGCCCCTGGAGCCACCCACCCACTGGAAGCACCTCTTCAGCAAGCGAACTGGGCAGGGGGCAGGTGCCTGTGTGCATGCGTGAGCACACACACACAGTGCTGACACCTTATACCCTCCATGGCCTGGGGGCAGTGTAACGTTCTGCCTGGAGCTGGCAGCTCTGTAGCAGAGTGAATGCAGAGTCCACAGGGCTGCACATCACCCATGCACCCTGTGTGGAACCTGGTGGCCCCCCAGGGAGGTGAAAGCCATGCTCTGATAGCCAGTGACAGTGCTTGCTTGGGCCAACCCAGCCCCTCAGAGAAGACCTGAGCTCAGTATGGGTAAGTGGACTCCAGGCAGAGGCTTTAGCACCCAAGTGGACTGAACACCTGGCATAGGACGTACCTTTATTCCAGGTGGGCCCTGAGCACCTGACAGCCCGGCGGGGCCCTGCAAGGAATGAGGGGCAGTTACCTCCTGGGACAGCCAGCCCCAATGGTCAGGAACAGCGTGCACACAGTGACCAGAAGCCTCTCATCTGCTTTGCTGTGTGGGAACTCCCAACCCACCTGCACCCTGGTTAGCAGGTTGGGCTTGGCACTGCCCAGCCCTGACCTTGCCAGTATTGTGGAAGGCTGCAGCATCAGCCATGCAGGGAACACAGACTGGAGACACCTGCCCTTGCTGGCTCACATAGGGGATGGACATCCCAGTACCCCTTCCTGATGTCATCCCTGTGCCAGGGTAGGTGTCTGGGCACCCCCCAAACAGTCCCCCTCCCATCATTACAGCTGCCAATTCAATACATGCACTGAATTTAGGCGCTGCCATTCTCAGCACTCAGTGCAGGAAGTGACATGTACTTACAGAGGGGCCTGGTGGCCCAGGGTCTCCCTGGCTACCCTGCAGGAAAGGAGAGAGACAGTCAGTGCTGGGTACAGAACCCTGGGGCAGGGGGAGCTGATCACCTCCTGCCTTGCAGGGCTCAGATAGGCCAACGGGGCTCTGGGCTTTGTTCAGACTGAGAGCTTGAGAAGGGGGCAGTGGCTGAACTGGCCCCAGCGTTTTACCTGCCATGAGAGCCCCTGCGCTGCCCCATAGCCAGCTCTCCCACTCCACAGAGGCGGGCTGACAGAGTTACTGTCATGCTGCCCATGTGATGAGTGGGGCCAGCCCAGCTGGGCCGGGGGGCTCCCCACCACCAGAAACAGGCCACCTGCTGCTTCTCAAATTCTGCAGTGCAAGTGCAGCAGGGATGCTAGGGCACTGTTTGGGAAATGGCAGAGAGGGGTGCAGGAAACTGGTTGGTAAATCCATTATTCTGGACCCTTCTCTGCAGCACCCGCCAAGGCTCTCAGGGCACCTGGAGTGTGCAGTTACACCGGGGAGGTGCAGCGGTGTCACAAGCCCCAGACAGGAACACCGAGGCCCAGGAGTGGGCAGGAGACTTTCCTGAGTCCGAACCAGCACCAGACCCTGCATCTCCTAGGTCACAGGCTCTGCTCTACCTCTGAGGGAATGGATCTGCCTCCCCACACTGAGCTCCCAAAGCAAACAGCTCCGGCTAGGAAAACCACAGGAGCGGGGCACGCTGGCTGCCATGCAGGGGTGGGGGGACAACACCTACCGGTCGGCCCAGGACTCCGGGGAAGCCGGGCAAACCCTGCAAAGAGGCAATTCAGAGCCAGGGGATTAGCGCTCCCAAAGCAGCCCCAGCCCCAGCCCCAGGCCAGGCCTGGTCTCCTGCGAACACACCACCAAAGCAGAGCTGCACAAGATAGAGAGAGCTTGGGAAGGCACCGCAGACCATGCCCAGAACCAAGGCTGCTGCGGAGGTTACTTACAGCTGGGCCAGGTGGCCCCCTAAAGCCCTGCGGGCCCTGGATGGGAGGGAAGGACACAAAATGGCAACAGCATGAGTGGGAAGCACAACTTGGCAAGGGGCATGAGGGAGGGGGCATGGTGGCCCTGGGGCAGAGGGCCTGCTGCCTAGGGGGCATCTTCCAGGGCAGTGCAGGCACTTGGGTGCCTGGGGATGCAGCAGAAAGCCTTGTGCCTGCTCCAGCCCATGTGGCATGGAAGACACAGACAGAGCATGCAAAACACGAGGAGCTGGTCTCGGGCTCCCTGGTCTCTGTCTGGCTGCTCCATTGGAATCGCAGCCTGTCCCCCTGTGGTGCCAAAGGACACCTCATCACCCTGTGGCCAGGGGGACTTTGAGCTTGCCCAAATTGAGGAGTCTGAGGAAGGGGCTGTGTTGGGCACCTCACAGAAGCTGCCATCTCCTGGGGAACGAGGATCTTGGCTGGGTCTGATGATACGGAGATGCTGGTTCTGGGCTGCACCCCAAACAAACCGAGCTGCCTCCCATCTGGTACCCGCCAGGCAGCTGGTTTCCAGAGTCCTCCCTCTTGCCTCACCCCTCCCAGCTGGCACTCGCCCCCATACTTACCGGCTTCCCTTCTGGTCCTGCCAGGCCTCGTTCTCCTGGAAGGCCCTGCAGCAGATGAGGCAATGAGCACGCAGCCCACAGCAGGCAGCAAGGTGCTGACTGCTCCTCAGCACCACGGAGGGCTGCACACAGTGGCTGCTAATCCAGCCCCCCTGGGCTTGGCCAGCCTTGGTACTCACCGGGCTGCCATCCCAGCCTTTCTCGCCAGCCTCTCCCCTCTCTCCCTTCTGCCCAGGGTCACCCTGAAAATCAGGAGTGCAGCACATCATGTACAGCAACAAGTCACAGTGAGCCACCCTGCTGAGCCCCTGCCACAACTCACCCTGGAGGCCCCCTTTCTAGGGCTGCTCTGATAGTCTGGGGAGACAGCAGGGCTCTAGGTCTCTGAAAAGGGGGTATCTGAGCATCCCTAATGCCTGGTGCGCGCGCGCACACACACACACACGCACGCACGCACGCACGCACGCACGCACGCACACACAGTGTTTATGTGAGGGCCCTACAGTACAAGGCAGCCTTCTCCAACTGTGAGGGTCTGTAGGAACTGCTGGCTTGAAGGTCTTGGGCCTGAGATGCCCTGCCTGTACACAGTTTCCCCCATGCACTAGCACCCACCTGCCCCAGAGAGACTCACTCAGGGAACACGAGGGGGTCCATGCCCATCTTGGGCACCCAAGGTGCCACCCAGCCCACGGCCTGTGGGCACCAATGTGGTCAAGAGGAAGGACAGCAAAGAGAGGGTGAGATGAAGGTAAGAGAGTCAGGTGTGCCAGGAAGGAGATGCCCATGAGGGAAACGCAGCCAGAAGAGAAGGCACCAGCAGACTTACTATACTCAGACCTTATCTCCTTTGGGTCCCCGCTCGCCATCCGCACCGGGCTCACCCTGGACAGGGAACAGCAGTAAAGGGGGGGAAGCCTGGCCCAACTCCCCACTCCTCAGAGCTCCCAGCCTGTATCTAACCCATGGGCGCCTTCCTGGGGCTCCAGCCCCTCTCACCCTCTGGTACTTGTGAGTGCCAGCTCATACCCCAAACCCACTGCTGGCAGGAGCAGGGCTACTGTCTGCATAGCCTCAGCCTCAGCCTCCTCCTCCTGCTGTTACTCCCCTAGTAACAGAGGAAGTGATGGGTTGGCTCCAGGGGTGATGTGCACCTGTTTCCATGCTAGATGCCCTGGTTTGGGACATGTCCGAGCCCTACAGCTCTGACACAGCCCACAAGAAGAGAAATTCCTCTGCTGCTGCCCTGAAGCCCCTCTGGGGACTCCAAACCACCCAGCAACACCCCAGAAGCTCAGCAGAGGCTGTGCTGCCATCAAGAGGGGGTCAGGAAGGCCGAATGTCCTTGCCAGACAGCAGGTCCTACATGCAGACTCCTGTGGGAAAGACTGCTGATGCAGGACCTCATCCCACTTGGCTGGATGGCAGCAGCATGGCCCTCCTGGCACCATGCTGCAGCTCTTGGGTGAACCTGGAGGGAAGGGAGAGCCACTCGCTCCACTTCCTGCCATGCCTGGGGTCTATTTCAAGACCTGGCAGCCCTGACTGGGACAGCTGTAACATGTGGGCACAAAGTAGACTCTCCTTGGCACTAACCCTGGTTCCCTTGGGTCCAGCGGGTCCACGATCCCCTGGAAAGCCTGAGAGACTGCCGTCTATCACATCCACCTGGCGGTAAGAGCACAGTGAGAAGGGGCAGCCATAGCTGCCAGTGCCCCAGCTCCCCCATGTCTGGAGCTCTCCCAGGGAGTCTGCTCTCCTAGCAGGGACTTGGCCACCCTCTGATGCCCCAGCAGGGCTCTTGCTCAGCTACAGGAATTGCCACACAGGCCAGGCTGGCAGGTCACCGAGTCCAGTGGCCAGACCCAGCTGCTTTAGAGGAAAGAGCATAATAGGCTCATAAGTGGTCACTTATAACCCAGAGACACAGTTATGACCCAGAAGCTGCCCAGAGAGTCAGTTCAGCCCCAGGCCTGGGGTGGGGAGGGGTTGGCAGGTACCTTGGAGGCAACAGCACGCATTCTTCCATCATGCTCTGTGCCAGACCTAACCCCAAGGGACTCAGGACAGGTCCCTGAAGGTAACACCCAGAAATTGGAAGCTGGTGGCACAGACAGGTTCAGGGAATAGGGATGTCACCCATGACCATGAAGATCTGTATTGATCCTGTCAGACAGGTCTGAGGGCAAAGCCAATCCTGCCAGATCCCAGGGATGGGAGTGGTGCTGACACCTGCTATCCCAGAGGGCAGGACACAGTGCAACGTGTCCTGGGACACAACTGTTTCCCAGTTTGGGCAGCCAGTGGCCTTGTGGCTACTAGCAGTGGCTTCCCCTAGTACCTGTCTGAGCTACCAACAGCACAAGGCCGGATGGGAACACAGGGCCACAGAACATGGAAAGGACCAATGGCTGGGGGGAATTGAAGGGCAATAACACTGAATCACAGGGGATCACCTTCATGGGCTCTGTCCCTGCCGGCCCTTCCTTCCCCAGCCCAGTCCCAATGGGCACAGCTGTCCAGATCTAAGCACCTGCTGGAGTGAGGCTAGCGGTGTGATAGGTGGCCACAGGGTGCTCACTTTCCCAGGTACACAGTACATGGTCTTTCAGCTGTCATCCCACCAGCCCAGGTCTCAGATTCCTAGGTGATGGCTCAGAGCCAAACACAGTGCCCACAACAGGTCCCCAGTTCCCTCCTGGTCCCTGCAGCCAGCAAGGGAGTAGCCAAGCTAGGGAGAATCACTCACCTTGGGCCCTGGGGGCCCGGGAGGACCCGGCTGGCCATCTCTGCCCTGGCAAAGAGACAAACAGGTCAAGAGGCAGAGACAGGACAGCTCCCGAGGGCACAGAGAGGAAGCCAGTCCCAGGGGATGAAGAACCACAGGGCCTGAGCCCAGAAGCAGGCAGCCCTGAGACACCAGCCCACAGTGGGGAGAACTGGGAGGGCAGGAGACTGTCCTCCAGACACCTCCCAGGGCCCCAGACCCCAGAGACCTTCCTTTTTGCAGTCACAGCTGCCCTTGCAGGACGGCTGCAGCATGTTCTACTCCCGGACCCCACGTGAAGCCCCAAGACCAGCCCAGCTAGAGACGGGCACTGCCAGCACGCCTAGAAAAACCTTTCCCACTACTGCACATACTAGCTCCCAGGGCTCTGGCCACAGGGTGAGGGCTGGGGCTCTCACTGGAAGCCATCAGCCTTCAATACTCAGCAATGTGTCCCGAGTTCAGGACACCATGCATCTGTCCTGGGGCTGAAGGACTACAGCCCTAAGGCTAGATGTCACCATCACTGGATGTCACAGGTAAGAACCTGAGCACCGGCAGTCTGTACGCATGCGTGCACATACACACAGCCACCCCCACCAGGTCATGATGTATTTGCAAGCCACAGGGATGGCACAGAGGGCACCAGCCTCACTCACCTGCTCGCCCCGCTCGCCCCTCTCACCCCGCTCGCCCTGCAAAGCAAAGGTGGTGGTGGGTCAGTGCAGCCAACTCCAGATTGTGGCTCTGCTCCCAGGTCCCCAGGAGGCAGGCACAGCAAGGCTGGCACTTTGACTCCCACCCAGACAGGGCCCATGCAGAGTCTGCCAGGCAGCTGAGGTCCTCCCCTGGCAGAGATGAGGGGAACTGGAAGCCTGCTCACTGAGACCATCTACTCCAAATGCCAGCCTCAGCAGAAAGGCTCTACTCCCTGTGCTGTGCCCATGCACACAGCACTAATAATCGCCCACAGAAGCCAGGGCTCACAAAACCAGCAGTGCCTCAGGGAGAGGCAGGCTCCTCAGCAGGCCCCCAGCCCCTCCTGGACAGCAGAGACCTTCACAGGCCCTGCAGTGAGATTGCCGGTCCAACCGTCTCCCCCAGCTTCCCAGCCTTGCTCACCTTCTCGCCAGGCCTGCCAGCCTCCCCGAGCTCCCCGGCCCGGCCAGGCACCCCAGGGATTCCAGGCTTGCCAGGCTCCCCGGGCTGGCCAGGAGGCCCCTCTGGACCTCGGTCTCCGACGGCACGTCCCACGGGGCCTTGGGGGCCGGAGGGACCCTGGTCTCCTCTGTCCCCCTTGGGGCCTCTCTCTCCAGGGAAGCCCCTCATGCCCTGCAGAAAACAGCACAGTTCAACTGGCTCTGATGCCAGGTCCACCACTCACAGTGCTAGCTGCTCCTGTCCTGCCAGAAGCTGCCTTGTCCTGGCAGGCTCTTGCTGCAGCGATGGGGAGCTCAGGCCTTGGGGCTGGCTGGTTAGCACTGGAGTTACACATGTGTTGTGAGCCACGTGTCAGCCTGGAAGTGCAGAGACAGGCTTTCTTCATAGGCTGCCCCAAGCAACAGGCCTCAGCCCAGGACTGGATGGACCCCCACAAGAGGCATGGACAGTTCAGTCTCTGTGGCTAGTGAGCCATGGAGTCACTGCCCATTACTAGAGAGGCAATGGAGCCTGCCATTCCCTAACACTGGAAGGGTCACTTTCTGAGCTTTGCTGGTTGCTGCAGGGGGCTGGGGAATAGCATTCTCCCCTCCCACTCCCCCACTGCTACATGTCATGGTGCTTTTAAGCCTTCCTCACGGGCAATGGGTATTGGCTGCAGCCAAAGACGGGGACTGACTGGTGTGTGCTGGTGCTCCTGCTGGGACCTAAACCCAGATATTCCTGGCTAGAGGGTCTTGCCTCTCTGCTCAGGACCAGACCAATTGCCATATTTAGGGTAAGAAAGACATTTTACTCCATGGTCAGATTAGTACAGACTATGGGGGTTTTGCCTTCCTCTGCAGTGGGGATCTTCTGAGTATATACTGGCAACCTTTACAGAAGCAGGACATTGGCTGCCATGGTCCCACTGCTACCTGTGGCTATCTATGGCAGGCCTACCCGTGGCAGGTTAGGGGGTTCTATATTGTGTTGTGTCAGGGTTGACTGTGTCGTTTTGCTAAAAGGTTAGACAATGGATTTGTATGGGATGGTTTGGATGGGGCTGATCCCTTCCAGCTCTGCTTCTCTGGGATTCAATCATCTGAGCAGCACAAACAGGCCCCTCATAAAGAGGCATCTTATCTAGGCCCTGTCACAAAGCCCTTGGGTTCCAGGGGAGGGTTACACATGGAGAGGAAACCAGGAGAGCCCAGTATGGGCCATGGGCCATGGCCCTGGCACAGATGTGCAGGAGAAGCCTGGTGGAGCTGAAGAGCCCATATGAGGGAAAGCAGCTGCACAGGAGAGGCATGACAGAGACCCCCCACTATGTGCAGCAAGAACCACAGTGCCTGTTAGTCCAAAGCCTTGCTGGGATTTCAGAAACCTCCATCTAGGTGTGATGAAGTCAAACAGCCCTGAAGAGAGGGTGCCAAGAGGTCAGCAGCTCCTCTCCCATGGAGGAACCTGAGCCATAATTTGTTTGGACAACAAGCAGCTCCACTTCTGGGGCTGGCCATGACCTGAGGTGGAGCCAGGGGGACAGTTTCAGAGCTACCCAAGGAGGCCGGTGGGATTTTCCCAGCTGATTCTCCCAGGGGACTCTTGGCTGATGAACATCTCACCCTCTCCCTCCCCTCTGCAGCCTTAGTGCCTGCAGGCTTCTCCCCCTCTCACCTCTTTCCCTGGGGGTCCCGTATCACCTGCATCCCCTTTATCACCCTTGTGGCCTCTTCGTGGCTCAGGGAAGGATGGGATCAAACCGCTACTCCCATCATAGGTTCCCAGGATCTCTCGGAGTAAGGAAAGCTTTGGAAAGAGAGAAGGAGTGCATCCTCTTGTCACATGTGCACATGGGAGGAGCATGGAACAAGAAGCTGGGTTATAGCAGGGTTGGCAGGGTGTGCTGGCACTGCTGGGAGCCCATGGATTACTCCTGACAACCTTCAGGGAAGATGTCACTCCACAGGCACAGCCTACCCTTGCCATACACCTATCCACAATGGCACTGCTGGGAGCCAGGCCCACCTGCCAGAGCCTCTGGCTTTCCTCATCACTGCTACATGACTGCTGCTCTTTCACCCCTGCCCAGTGTATCCGGCAGGCACCAGCACCATGCCCCACCGTGCCTGATGGCTCTGACTTCCTCTCAGGCAGCCATCTCCCTGGGCCTTGGCCTCCAACAAGAGCCATCAGCCAGGTCTGTGGTATCCCTACAGCACCTGGTCCCTCTCTGTCCATCCCAGCCTGGGCTCACTGATCACCAATGGTCAGGGGGACAGGCCCCCACTTCCCCCAAAGTGGGTGCCCCATTTGAGGTGCCTCCTGGCTGTTGCTTTGCTTTGTACCTTAATCCCATAGGTCTCCAGGGCCCGTTCCACATTCTAGAAAAGGCAAGGAAAGAATAAGAACAACATGGAGGCAGAAAGCAGGAGGCCCCCACTCCCTCTGTCATGACCCCAGGGATCAACCCCCTGTCTTCCCCAAGGATGAAGCTGGAAAGATGAGCAGATGCCCAGGTCACCCTGGGAGAAGGGGGTCAGTGGCTCTCCCTCTTTGACAAGTGTGGGATCATCCTCATCAAGGAACTTACCAGTGTTGACGCAGGGTCACCCCGTGGTCCAGGAGTCCCAGGATTCCCCTATGGCCAGGCAAAGAAGGAAAGTAAGGCCAAATGAAAACAGTAATGCTCAGTGTTGGCAGCACCAGGGTGGAGGGAGCTGCCCTGGATAAGCTACAGCCGGAGCAGAGTTACTGGGTGAATATGGGGTGTGTGGAGCAGACAGACTTGTGTCCCCTGCAGGCAGAAGACCTCACTCCATGGTCAGCTGTGTGAGGCTGGAGAGTCACCCAGGCTGAGGCTCACCCTCACCCCACCATGGCCACTTAGCACAGTTGAAGACAGGATCCACATTCTGCCACGACAGCCTGCTCAACACCTCATTTAGCACCAAGGGAGCACTGGACTGAACTACACAGTGGGAGCAATCATCCAGGGGGATGGTGTTGGCAGGTCACAACCAGGCCCCCTCCCCATACCATGGCTGGTTCCCAGGGTCCCCACTTCCACAGTGCTGCAGGCTTTTGCATTACAAGACCTATGTCCCAAAGTCATCCAAGTACCAGGTTGTGCAGCCCAGTGGGAGCAGATACCGGTGCTCTCAGGGGCTTCTTTGGGTTCTGGCAGTACCAACACACAGCGCTGCACAGGGCTGTGCTTGTCCAGGGTGGTCTTGCTGCATCCACAAGCACTAATTCCTAGCAGCACCCCCTGCCCCAGCTGCATGCTGAAAGGGGTCTCCAGCACACACAATACTATTCTGCTGCAAGGGGAGGCTTGGCAAACACTGCCCCCCGCCCAGGGAATGCCTGGCATGGGAAGGTCCATATAGGGAGCAGAGGGGGAAGTGAGAGGAGTCTGTTGTCTTCAGTTTGTGAAGTAGCTGCTCCAGAGGTCCTGGCTCCCTGTCCCAGCTTGTGGGCTCCCCACTCTGTGCCCTGAAAGCACCAATACCACAGGCTGGAGCAGACTTGATGAAGCTGGCGCCACTGGGCACTCACTGGTTCTCCACTGGGTCCACGGTCCCCGCGGTCCCCCTGAAACAGAGCAAGAAAAGTCAGGATCCCTGCCAGCCCAGGGATGGGAACATAGGGTGTCACACGAGATTCTTTCCAACTCCCATGGAAGAGATAAGACCGAGAGGATGTAGCCTGGTGGAGGCCTGGGGAAGGTCAGATACCCGCATCCTCTCCTTGGACAGCAGAGGTGACCCTGTGACCCAGTGCTCTGCCCTTCGCTGGCCCTATGTCAGAGATCTCTGCTGCCTCAAAGATTCCCTGAGGTCTGGGCCAGGCATGGACCAGAGCTGGGACTTGCCCAGAGCCCCCACTGTCCTGAGGCTTCTCAGAGAACAGCATCTGGGGCTGAACATCACAAAGATCCACACCCCTTCCCACACCAACCCACCACTCTCCACTGAGGCCCCCAAAGGGACTCTTTTGCTAGGCCTTGCTCCTCCACAGGAAACTGCCCAGAAGACACCAGGCCAAACAGGCGTGTGGGAAGCCAAGCACAGGGTCTGTACCAGCCAACTCTGACCCTTGAGGGCCTGGCAGCAGGTACTCTCTGGGAGGCCATTCCCACCCCATCGGACAGTTCAGATGGACTGCCAGGGAGCCAGGAGCAGCCACTGTCCTGAGGCTGGGTCTTTAGCAGCCAGAATCACCACTGCCTTGCAACACCAGGGTGTGTGGCAAAAAGACACTTACCTTCGGTCCTATAGGCCCAGGGTGGCCCGGTGTGCCCTGAAAGGTATAGAAGAGCCCCAGTCAAACCCTGGAGCTGGTGTGCAGGACTGAGTATGGCTTCCCTGCAGCCAGCAAGACTTGTGGACAGCCCAGAGCTGGAGAGAGGAGGATGTCGAGGGCCCACAGCTTATGGGCCCATGCAGAGGGGAGTGAATGCCAGGACTGAGAGGAGGGACCAGCCCAGGCTGGGACTTCCCCTGCCCCTAGGTCTGCCCCCTCCAGCACATGCGATCCCACAGTGAGGAGTCCACTGGGCAGGACAGTGATGGGGTAGGGATAGGACAGCACAGTCACACTCTGTAGGGTTAGAGAAGGGCCCCCAGTCTCTGTGGCCTGGATGCGAGACTTCCCTCTGCTACCTAGATCTGCAGGCTCAGGGACCTGCTGTCGACAGGCCTGTTTCCCAGTTCAGCCATGCAAAAGGCAGCTGGCAGTTCACACAGGGACAGAGAGCCAGGATGCCTGGGTTCTGTTCAGAGTAGATTCTCCTTTCTGGGAGCTGCAACTCCCATCTATAACAGCTCTGGTCCCATCTGTCCCACACAGGTCCCCTGAACACCTGGGCCTCTGGCTTGTGCTGTTGAGAGGGTTTGCCTGGAGTTATGTACCTGGCCTGGGGATCCAACGTGCCCTGGTATGCCAGGGAGCCCAGGTGGTCCTGGGGGGCCGGGTGCCCCACTGCCTCCTCGATCACCCTTGGCACCCTCACGACCCTGCCAACAGAGAACAGAAGCATCACTGCCTGATGCTGACCCCAGCAGGGCTCATGACTGCTGATAGTCACATGGCTGGCAAAAGGGTGACCATGCCCAGGGCTGTCAGGGAAAGGCACCAGCCTTTCTGCCCCAGCCACTGCCCACTGAAGGTGGAGGCAGCACCTGGGAGCAGTGAAGTCAGAGGGCCACCAGTGCCTGTCCCACAACCCGCACCCCCAGGCTGCAGCTCATGAACCAGATCTAGAGCCCTTCTCATCTCAGGTCTGAGCTAGGTACAGCAACAGGCCTCCACATGCATACACTCCTGTGAAACAGTGTGAAAGCCTGTGGATGCAACCCTGACCCCTGCCAGCTGGCAAAGGGCATGGGCCACTACGCATAGGAGGGCAACAACACAACAGACAGTGGGTGGTGATCTGGCAAGATGTGCAGAGCTGGAAGAGCAC